GCGAGCCGCCAAATTTGCCCTGCGTGGCGCGAACGCTGGTGAGACCTTGCGCAGGTCCCATTGCTCCCCAGTGTCCACGGGTCGTCAACAAAGAAACCTATACGGGCGCAAGTAAGGACAAGGGCCGCCACGGGATCCTTGATTTTTGCCCAGAGCAGCCGCTTGAAGGAGGCCGCCCTTGCCTCGCCCAAGGAGCCACCCGAGGACTGCAGGGGTGAGGCGCTGATCCTGCAAGATTTGGCAGATCGCGCGGGGAGCATCCGAAGTGACCAGCACTAACGGGTCCCGAGACCACCCACCCCTGGATCTCATGGAGGCCAATTCAAGTGAGCATTCCTTCGGGAGGGGGCCTTCAGCGCGGAGCGCCGAGATATGGAGCCTCTTGAGCTTGCCATTGGGGAGCCCATGTATGTTGGCACCCCACAGGGCCTTCGAGGTCACCCCAGGTCTGAAGACGTCACCACATGGGGCTCCTCCCTGCCATAAGGCAAGGGCCTTACCAACTTGTTGCTGCGACACACGACGTGGCCCCTGTGCCGCGACACACGACGCGGGCCGCGACGCGCGCCGCAGTATGCTCGCATCAGCTCCAGGGGAAAGCCGCTCGCCCTCTCCGCCTGGGGCAGCTCAAACTGCGAAATATTCTCGTAAAACTTCCTGAGATCAATGAACAATGCGCCTGTGCCGAGTCCTGGGACCTCCCTAGCGTAGGAGGCTAAAGCATAGTGCACCCACGCGCTCTTGTCGCAAGCCGTGCTGGAGCTCATGCCCCAGAAAAAATTGTAATATACCTCTCGCTCCCAGTCGGCACGGAGTCGTCGGCGAATTCTGCTCCACGCCCGGGCCCGCAAGGAGGCCGATGGGCCTCACTCCACGAGCCACCGAAGACTGAGCCCACGCCGTCTATCTTTGACGGCCTTCCGCTACCTCCTGTTGGATCTTGCGATTCATTTTGGCTTGTGCCTCATTGGCCAGAGCGCCGCGCTCGTGGCCGTCCAGTTCCGCAGAACAGGAGAGTGCCGTACGTAAGTGCTTGCAGAGTCGAGGACTCCGCTGTCTGACAAAGGTCTTGCTGCCGCGCCGCTTTTTGCAGGATTCTCTCCCGGAGATCTGGTGACCGCGTCTTTATGCGCTGGATGGCAAGGCGTCGCATTGACAGCCACCTTTGCGTAGTCATATTCGCTTTGCGGTGGCGCTCTTGCCCCCGCGAGGCCTGCAAAGGCGCTGGCTGCGCTCGGCAGCCTTTGGCTCGCCCGAAATGCTTCGAAGAGGACATTACGTGAACTTTACCTTGATCCTGTTGCTTGGAGCCAGGCAGCCATGGCCTACTGGGGCTTGAGGCCCTCGAAAGTGGGGCCTTCCCAGGTCCTTTGAAGCATCGTGCGTTCGCGCTCCTGGTCATTGCGCGGGAGGGGAAACGCAGCTGGCACAACGCGTTGACAAACCTTGGCTTGACCAGCCACCTGCTTAGCTTCAGCACAACCGCTGAGCGCGGGCCCACGGGAGTGTCTAGCTGCGCCCAGCAGTCAACAACAAGATGGTCGAAACACCTGTTGGCCACAAAAAAGTCGTAGCAGTGCTGGTTGCACGTGTCACCCACTGGGCGAAGGATCGAGGCGCCTAAGTGATCAGCCCACTGGGGTGCCCGGATGTCCTCGGCGTCTATGTGCCAGCCCCCTCCGATGACGAACGGACAGCCAGTTGCCGCGACAAGCTGGCTGACCTGCTCCAAACAAATCAGGTTGGCTCCTGCGAGCCCCAGAGAGGCGTGGCCATGCACAGAAACAATAAGGAAACGCAACTCTCCATGGATCATGGCCTTGGCAGCAACGATCCTATCCGAGACATTAGGGTGGCAGAACCGACAGCATCCAAAGGTCGCCTTCACCAGTGCCGCCGTCCCTCCTGACGTCTCTCCGTCGCCTTCCCCCGCGCAGGCCGCCTCGGCGAACGCTGACGAGAACCCCCGTCGATGCGCCCAGGCCCTCGCTCCAGCCACCTGGTGCTGGACCAGACGATGCCCCTGCATAAGGCAGGCAGACATCGAACTGCATGCCCTTGGCGCCAGGCGCCCGCTCCAGCTACTTCTGCGCCGTCGGCCAGGCGTTGGAGTTGTAGCTGACCGCGTCGATGTCGTAGCGAAGCCCTGTCGCCTCGCTCTTCTGGTCTGCCCTCCAGCTGGCGCCCCAGGGACGCTTGCACGCCCCGACTCCAGCTTTTTGGTCTGCCCTCCTCGGGCCCCCCCAAGGACGACGCCCCGCCCCGACGCCTGGGAGGGGGCGCTCACCACAGGGGCATCGACCACCCGCGCGCCCGCGGCCCTGTGGTGAGCTGAGTTCGGTCAACGACCACCCGCGCGCCTGCGGCCTTGCCCCAGAGCCCGCCCCCCCTCCCTTCTGGGTCTGCCCTGCCAGGGGCTTCCCAGGGACGCTGTCGCGCCCCGCCGCGCCTGGGGAGTCGCTCCACCCCGGGGAATCGACCACCCGCGCATCTGCGGCCCAGAGTGGAGGCTGGACCTGAGCGAGGGCCTCGACCACCCGCATGTCTGTGGCCTCGCTCGAGTGCCCGCTACTCCCCTTCAGGGTCTTTCCCACGGCTGGGCTCCCCAAGGACCTTCGAAGGCCCCGAAAAAAAGTGCCAGCCGCGCCTGAGGGTCCACTCCACTCAGGCATCGACCACCCGCGCATCTGCGGCCCAGAGTGGAGGCTGGACCTGATCGAGGGCATCGACCACCCGCATGTCCGCGGCACCGATCGAAGGTCCGATGCCCCTGTTCAAGGTCTGCCCTCGGCTGGGCCCCCCAAGGACCGAAGCAGGCTCCGAATCGGCGGCCCGTCGGCGCCCAGCCAGCTGGTCACGAACAAAAATCTAGAAGCCGCCCCGGCGTACCCCAGTGATGCTTAGCAAAGGCAACCCAGACTTTACGAGTCATAGGTCGCATCATGTCTTTGAGGCTCTGACGACTGCGAAGGCCCCGCCTCCATGTTTCAGAGCAGGCCTCTGCTGCAGCCTGCTCTAGCTCACCTGGACCTTCTAGACCGTGATTCCAGCGCGCCGTGGGACCATGCCTGCAGACCATCGCCTCGCGCAGCTCTGAGCTTTGAGGCAATCGCACAAACAAAAATGGTCAGGTACTCGACGCACCATTGTTGCCATGACTCCTCTTCCTGCGGAGCCTCTCGCTCCAGGTCCCATGTCGATCTTGAGCTCCAGCTGGACATGATTCGCAACACATGTCTTCGGACGCGGTCGGGATCCCTGGCAAGCAGGACCCCCAGGGGTTGCCCATGGCCTGGCGCACCTCAGGCCCGCTAGAGGCACTCCTTGTCCACGCTGGCCAGCTTGGCCCTGGCTGCGTCAAGTGCTGCTTGTAGCTCCTCAGGGCTGGGGCCTCCCTGCTGCAATGGGGCTGCCAGTGGAGCGCTGGCTCCCGCTGCGGCTGACCCCCCTGCGCTGGCCTCAGACCCTGCGCTTGAAGCGGCAAGGGGAGCAGCGGGAGGAGCCGCGGCGGATGGAGGCGCTTCACCCCCGCCGCTGGAGATGGACTCGGCATCCTCCTTGCGGGCTCGCTTGGACCCAGCCACTGTCGCAGTGCTCGAGCCTCCTTGCGGATCTTCTGGATGCTCTCCACGCTGGGCCCGATGGCCGCGAGGATGGCCTTCTGGAGCTCCATGGCCATGCTGCCTTTGAGCTCCAGCCACTTGACTTTGTCTGCGTTCTCCACGTCCAGGCCACTGAGATCGAGAAGGTCACCGTCGACGATCTCGACCGAGTCGAAGTCGCCCTCGTCCGCCAGGAGGTGGGAGAGGTTGATCTGCGACCCAGTCGGCGCGTGCGCTGCCGTGTCTGACGGCGGCGGGGACCCCTCAGCAGCCGGCCCACGGGCGCGGAGTAGCTCAGACTTGAGCTCCGCCTCCCACTCCAAACTTTGACCTGCGCGGCCGCGACCGCCGCCGCCGCCGTCTTCTTGCTGCAATCCTCCAGCCAGCGCCTGGCCTCATCCTCTTGCTGCCCGCCGCCTCCAGCGCCTTCTCCGCGCGCCTGCAGGCCACGCCCTTGGCGCTGAGGATCTCCTCCGGGAGCGGCGGCCGTGGCTGAGAGGCGGGCTCAGGCGCGACCGCCTGCGCCAGCGCCTGGAGCTCCTGGGCCCCAGCCGCCTTGCCGACCTGCTGCTGGAGCTGGGCCAAGAGCTCACTGACGGAGAGAGCGCCTGCACCTCGTTGTGGCGGTGTCGACGCCTTGGGCGGCTCAGGGCGACTGGGCGGATCGCTCCACTGCGACTTCCCAGGCGACCCCTTGGAGGCGGCAGCCCCTCCTTGGGCCCAGACACATTTGCCCTCGCGCCAGGGCGGCTGCGTCGCAGGCACCAGCGCCGATCCACGCGAAAAACATGACGTCTTTCTTGGACTTCCAGTTTCAACGGTATCGACAGTTTGGGCACGAGAGATAGCCTTCGCCTGCATCTTTGCCCATGGGCTCCAACAGGAGCTCACCGAAACAGCCGTGCCTGCAAGGTGCGATACGGGGATAGCCCGAGAGGGCCGTGCAAGAGAGTGCCCGGAGCGCGGCTCAGGGATCGCTGGTGGGGGCGCGCCTCCCCCTTGCCACAAGTCAAGTCGCTGAGCCTCCCGCTACGGACTTGAGCCATAATGGCCACGGAGGCAGACTGAGGAGCAGCGAGGAGGGGCACATGCAGTATTCGAACAAGGAGGCCTCCTCGTCCTTCTTTTCGTCCTCCTCTTCATTGCCCACTCACACACGCACACTCACTCACTCACTGTTCTGATGCGCTTGTTGTTGCCTGTTGGGTTTTGTGTGTGCCTCTCTTTCTCTCTCTCTCTCACTCTCTCTCTCTCTGCGTTTTCGTCAGCATTACCCCCATCATCCCCATCCTGCTCCTGCTCATCCACTTCTTACTCTTGCTCGTCCTCCTGCTGCTCCAGCTCTCCCTCCGCTTCTCCCTATTCTCTCTGTCTCCTCATCTTTCTTCCCGTTCCCAGGACGACAGGGGAGCCAAGAAGAGAAGCCGCAGCCGCCGCAAGGATGGTGCGGCCAAGAGCCGGCCTCGGAGGCGGGTGTGGTCTTGGTTCCGCATTACACGCGTATCGCCTACTGTGTGCTCTCTCCGTCACTCCCCCACCCCCCCTCTTCCCGTTCCCCTCATCTGCCTTTCCCCTCCCTCCTAAATTCCATGCGATTTTCTTCCCCCTCATCCTTGCCGCCCCCCCCCTCTCTCCAATGTTTCCTTCCTCTTCCTCTTTCTCCACCGGTCTCTTTCTCCCTCTTCTTCGACCCTTGTCTGTGATGCTCCTGTCGAAAGCGCATTTCTACATCGATTCCCAATACAGTCCAAACGATCAATCGACGCTTTTCGGACACCTTTGCTCTCCTGTCTGTTTCGAAGGCGCCCCTGCGAGGCTGTGGCTCCATCATGGAGGCTCCCTGTCGCGACTTTGGCAAAATGCTCTTGTGTCCTTGTTGTTCTGGTTTGTCAAGCTGCCCTCATAATAACGAAGCACACTGTCAGTTACCCATGGTCCCATCAGTCCATCAGCTGCTGTCTTTGAACTTTCATAGTTTCATAGGGTCTATATCCGAAATCTCCTAGGTAGCCCCGCCGAGCGCCGAGGCCCTGCCAGAGTGGTCCTCCGGCCAACCTCAAGGCCCGTGTGTGCTGGTTCATCAACCACCTTTTCAGCTCCCTCGCCTCCCCCCTCCCCTCCCTCCACGTCTCCCCGTTGGCTTCGGCGGCGGCGACTCCCCGTTGCATGACATGAAGCCTGGCGCCCGCCGGCTGTGCCACTGTGCGAGCGGCGCGCGTCGCCCCGAGGGACCGCAGCAGCGAGCGCAGCCGCAGCGCCGAGGGCTCAGAAGGCCGGCCTGGTGGCTGTCCGCTGCAGGCGAGGGCGCGAATCTGGGATAGCCCGGAGCTGTCGATCATCCGATCCAGGGTCCTCCCTGCTGTCGTCGTCCTCGTTCTTCCGCCTCCGCCCTTTCTCCTCCGCTTCTGCCTCCTCCTTGATCTCATCGTCATCCCCATCCTCGTCCTCTTCCTTTGGGCGTGCCCCCACCTTGGCAACACATCCAGCACATCGGGCGGCACTCAGCTTGTCGTCGCGATCCGCGAAACAAGTTTCAGGACTGTGCATGCTACCCCAGGATCGTGCGAACTACCGTTGCGAGTGGCATGGATGGGGTGTCGAGGAGCACAGGGAACGAGATATACTGACCCAAGATGGGGTTCTTCGCAAGTTGCTCCTCTTTGTTGAGATAGGGTGGGTTAGTATCGAGCCTCTGTCGTGCTGGACTCCTAACCGCTAAGTCGGCCAGGGCAAATTGCCCAGAAACTCTTGGGGCGAGAAGATTCCTTTGCGGTTTACCCGAGCGTTTCTGCGGGTGCGAGTGGGAGCCTGATGGTGCGAGTGACCCTGCCGGTGCGACCAAAGGGGCTTGGGAGGCCAGCTAACGCGTGTTCTCCCATCTATTTTTCCGTTTTTGTAGTTAGATTATTTAGGGCGTTGCCGGCTACGTCTGGCGGCGACGCGAGCAGGAAGCGCTGGAGGCGCGCCCTGAGCTCTCGGCCCCGTCTTTTTGCCATGCCGTACCCGGAGCTCCCGAACCCATTTCGTAATGTCACGTAGTGTAGCAAGACGTTGCGCAGGCAAGGACCAGCGTTGCATCTGCAAACGTGCTGGCCCAAGGATGCTGAGCACCAGGGATTGACAAAGTACAAACATGGTTCAATTCGCCTAATGTTGTGTGGCCATGGTCCCACATGTCGGAGGATTTGCCTGTAGTCGCAGTGGCAAGAGGAGGACGCGCGAACACTCTGAGGAGCAACCTTGGCTCAAAAAACGCTGTGCGGGGATACAGTACTTTGGTCATGGTTAGGTGCGCAGCAGGCACCCGCATCCATTCCCCCCCCCGCACCCTCATACCATATCCGATGTTAAGGCCTGAGCTCGCATCCTGCTTCTTTGCCCAGAAATGGTATCATTAACAGAAGCCCTGAACTTGCGGCGCTGGACACCGACCAGAGCTGCTTGGTAACGACCTGGGACACTCGGTTCCTTGCCGAGGTAGAGTCTCCGCACACGTGTTTGCGCATCGTGCACCGCTTGTTTAGATGTTTCGTCATGCCAGCGCAAGCGTCTGCCAGAAGTACGAACTCTCCTCCCTCATCCCCCCATTCTCGTCGTCGGGATCGGGCCTGTGACCAGTCTCGATCAGGATCGGGCCTTGGATCCAGTTGGGCCGGGGTGTCACTTCTAAGGCCGAGGGCGAAAGGAGGCACGGCTCGTCCGACCGCAGCGCAAGCGGTGGCCGCGTGGCTTATGCACGGAGGGCCCCCTCCTCCCCCTCGCCTCCCCCGCCCGCCATTTCCTTCCTCTGCCTTCCCGCCCCGTGCCCTCCCATCCGCTCCCTTGTCTTCTGCCCTCCATCCCATCCTCTCTCCCCTCTCCCTCTCCCATCCCGTCCCACTTCCTGTGCCTCCCCCCTTTTCATCCCATGGGCAGGAGGCAGGAACAGGGGCAAGAGCAAGACAGCGACGAGGATGGTACTGAGGAGATGTATCTTTGGCGGGAGGAGGATGAGGAATACCAGCCAGCCTGCGGCAAATCCCGCCACCAGGCCAGCACAGCAACGCAGCAGGAAGGAGCTTGAGTTTGAGACCCGCTCCTTGTCTGCGCTCTTTCTGGTTTGGCGCGGGTCTTGTGCACCCTCTCCCTGTTCACAGCCGCGTTCTCGTCTTCCCTCCACCTTCCTCCTCGTTCCTCCTCTGTCCCCATGACCCATACTTAGCCATTTTGGCTCAAGTGGTTGCAGGACTTCGGGGCACCGTACTTGAAGAACACAGAATGGGTCGTGGTTACTGTGGAATCAGCGGCGCTGCTCGGCGCTACTACCTGCGCCGCGTGCCTCGCGAAAAAATCCGCGGAGGACAGTTCAGGCGGTGGCGGCGGCGGCGATGACCGCGGGCCACCCTCAGCGCGGCGGCCAAGGAGCTTGCGAAGGATGTGGCGGCGGACGCGTGCTTGGCGGGCTGGCAGCCTGGCTCCTGGGCGGACGAACTGGTGGAGATGCTGCGCGAGGTTCGGGGGCTTCGCCGCCAGCGCAAGCGCTCAAATCGGAGCGCATCGGCGCGGTAGAGCACGCCGACGCGATGGTGCTGGACGGCGGCACGGGTGTGGAGTTGCTTGACGATAGCTGGGTCCACGGCCTCGCGAACGCGGCGCCTTCGGCGGCGGCTGGTCTTGGCGGTCGGGAGCTCGCAGCAGTGCGAGGGCTGCGCAGCCGCCTACGCTGGTGCGGGCGGTGGGGCTGCCGCGGCGGCGCCCGGGCGGACACCCGGCGGCAGCGCTCGGCCATCTCGGGGCGTCCACGGGATGAGTTGCGCCGAGCTGGTGAGCGCCGCCGTGGCGGGTGGTCATGCGCTTCACGGATCATCCTGGAGAGCCTGAGCAGGATTTCTGTCAGTCGGAGCCACGGGAGGATCCTGCTGGAGATGCGGGACGCGGCGGGCTAGGGCTCGGCGGCGCGCGGGGCTGCTGCGGCGGGGGCAGCGGGGGCCTTCGCAGCTTTGCTGGCGGTCGCCGCCTCCTTCCGTGGCGTCCTCGCGTTGCTCTTCGGCGTCTACGTGGTGCTCCGCTGAGGCGATCAGGCCTCCTCCTCCTCCTCCTCCTCCTCCTCCTCCTCCTCCTCCTCCTCCTCCTCTTCATCGCAGCAGTAAGTAGCCGGCTCGGACAGTCTCGTCATTGTGGAATCCGCAACTGTTTCGGCTCAAGGACTTCCGACGAGCCTTGGGTGGCCGAGGAAAAACTAAAGTTGGGACGGATCGACGGGTTCTGCGAGCGGTGCCGGGAGCCAGGTCAGGGCTTCGGCTGTAGACTTTGCATGTCATGGGTGCGGGGCTCTTGGCGTATCCAGAAGGATGTGGACCGTGCCATTGCGTCTCGGTCTTCGCCAGAACACCTGCTGATTTCGGGGGGGCGGCGAACGCGCTTGCTTCAGTCGGAATGATTTTGGCAGGGCGAGGCCACGCCCCCCTCATGGTGTGTCTGTGGTTGCTGGGAAAGCTGCGCTGGGCATGATGGGCGGTGCCTCGGCCCTCGGACTGGGTCAATGTGAGTGCTGGACCATACCCTTGTGGCATGAGGCCTTCTGCCTGGTGGTCTCGTGTGGCCGGGGAAGCTCCGCCCAGCCGGAGCTCCGAGTATGGAGCGGTGCCCCAGCTCTGGGACTGGGCCAGGGTAGGAGCTGGACCATACCCACGTGGTATGGTCCTTGTACTTGGCAGTCTTTGGCGGCCGGGAAGCTCGGCTGGACCCTACCTTCGGCTGGACCGTACCTTGAAGGCACGGGGCGGTGTCTCGGCACTTGGACTGGGCCAGGGTAAGGGCTGGACCACGCCCTCGCGGTATTGGGCCTTGTACCTGGCACTCTCTGGCGGCGGGGAAGGCTCCTTTAAGACGTACCTCCGGGCCTCCCGATATGGGGCGGTGCCCCAGCGCCTGGGTTGGGCCAGGGTAAGGGCTGGACCATACCCTCGTGGTATGGGGCCTTGTACCCGGCCATCTTTTGCGGCCGGGAAGGCTCCATTGGACCGCACCTTGGGGCAAGGGGCGGTGCCTCGGCACTGGGACTGGGCAGGGACTGGTGGCTTGTATTTTGGGTCGCTGGTGGGGCGGTGTTTCGGCACTGGGACTGGGCAAGGGTCCTATGCCTGGCGGTCTTTTTGGTGGCTGGTCGTGCTGTGTCTCGGAACTGGGACTGGGCCAGAGTAAGGGCTGGACGATACCCTCGTGGCATGCGGGCTCGTACCTGGCGGTGGTAAAGCGCCAAACTTCGCCGATGCCAGGGATTTGCCGACCAGGATCGCATGGGCCGGGGGGCCTGCTGACCGAGCTCGCCGAGTCCGTGGAGCTGCTGACCAAGCTCCCCGAGTCCGTGAACCAGCGGGTCGAGTTCACAGGGTCCATGATGATGTTGGCCGAGCTCGCAGCGAAGGTTCGGTTTCTGGGAGGCATTGCGTTTCCCCGACCCCCCAGACGAGACGCCCCTTCGAGGACAGGGCGTTCAATCTTGGTTGCGGCGCTACAGAGCGAGCTGGGCGCGCAGGTGGCGGACATACAGGGCGAACTACACGGACGCGTCGCCGCGCGCTTTCGAGAACGAGTTGTGCGGGCAGGTGGTTGCTGACAGGGGGCGAGCTACACGAACTCATCTTTGCGCACCTTCGAAGGCGAATCGGGCGTGCCTGTTGCCGGCGACTGGGCGGACTACACGGACTCGCTGCTGCGCGCCTTCGAGAGAGCTGTGGTTTCCGACGGCGGGGCCAACGACACGGCCTCACCGCGGTGCGCTTTCGCGAGCGAGTGGGGCGTGCAGGTCGTCTGCGACGGGGCGACCACACGGACTCGCTGATGGTGCGAGGCCATGGAGGTACGGTCCGAGCTCTCCGAGACCGTCGAGGACTCGGGGTTGCTGGCCTGGCTCGCCGGGGCCGCTGCGTTGCGTGCTGGACGCGCCGAGGCCGTGGTGCTGCTTGCCGAGCTCGCCAAGGCCCGTGGGGCGCTGCAAACCTGCTCCGAGAAGTCTGGCCGCGCGGGCTATGAGAGGACGTGGGCGTCCGCTTTGCAGCGTGCGAGGCGCCGCCAGCCCGCCGCGAGTAGGGCGGCCCAGGGCTCGCCGCGCAGTCCATGGAGCTGCCCCCCCGAGCTCACCAAAGACTCGGGCCAGCACGGCCGCCTCGCGGCGTGCAGGGTCATGTTAGCCTGCAGCGAGAGGCTGGCCCAGAGCTCACCGCGCAGGCAGGGGAGGAGGGCGACCGTACGCCCGCCGAGCAGCATCGAGGGCGTTGCTGGCCTGCTGCGGGAGGGGCGACCAGGACCTCGCCGCACAGGCTACAGGGTTGCTGGTCGAGTTTGCCAAGGATTCGGACATGGACGTCCGCTGCCGGCTTGCGGCGCCAGGGACGGCCAGGCTCGCTGAGCGTTCCATGGGGGCTGCCAGCCGAGCTCACCAAGGACTCGGACGACCACGTCCGCAAAGTGACGTGCGGGGCGCGGCCAGCTGGCTGCGACATGGTTGGGTCAGCGTTTGACTCGCTGGGCCGTGGGGCTGCTGCGAGTGGGTTTGCCTGGAGCTCGCCGCGCAGGTCCGACACCTGCTGGCCGAGCTCGCCAAGAACTCGGACCAGAACGTCCGCCTCGCATCGTGCAGGACGCTGCCGGCTTGCTGCGAGGGGGGGCGGCTCAGAGTTCGTCGTGCGGGCCGTGGAGGCGTTGGCCGAGCTCGCGAGGAGTCGGACCGAGACTCCGCCAAACAGCGCGCTGGCTGCGCGTGGCTTGCGTTGAGAGGGGGCGGCCCACAGCTCGCTGCGCAGGCCACGGGGCTGCTAGGTGCGCTCGCCACTGACTCGGGCGTTACAGTCCGCTGAGTGCGCGCCCGTGGCGTGGATAGCGTGAATTCCACAGAAACCTCTTCAAACTATCAGGGAGGAGCAGCAGCAGGATTAGAACGGGGACGGGGCAGGGCCGGGAGGATGACGAGCCAGAGCCAAAGCCAGAGCAGGAGCCCAGACAGGAGGGGAAGGGGAAGAAGATTGGGAGGGGTGAGGCGAAGGGGCAGGAGCAGCAGCACGAGGTGGATGGGGGGAGCAGGAAGATGAGAACGAGGACAAGGAGGAGGAGCAGTGTGAGCGTACAGTAGGACTTTAAGGGATGCTGCTGCACAAGAAGAGGATATGTTGCAGCCAAACTTGGTTCCAGGGTCAGTGGTGATATCTGACCGCCGTTCGCTGCACCCGATATTCAAATGGCTTGCACCATCTGTCGCTTCATCTTCAGCATGCCCTCCGTTTTGGGACCACCGAGGTAGCCCTGGGGCGAAGTCAGGCTGCTCCGTTGAAGAGGAGGACTTGTGCGACCATGCTCCCAACCCTCCTGCCAAGTTGGATCCTCATTACTTCTCCGCTGCGGCGCGCGTTGTTTTCCTTCTCCTCGTGCATCCCACTCCATTATTTCCTTCCTGCTGCTTCTGCTGCTGTGTTACCTTTTCTCTTTCATGTTGCTCTGCCGTTGCCGTTGCAGCCGCTGCCAGCCGCTGCTGTTGCCGCGGTTGCTGCTGTCATTGCCGCGCTGCCGGCCAGCCCCTGCAGTTACAGGCGCTGTACTGCCAGCATAGGCTGCCGGTTGTACCGCCCACGCGTCCGCTTCGGCATGCCCCTCACTCGGACCGTTCCCCACACAGCCCTGGCTACGGAGTTTTACGATGCCCCATGTTCCTTTCGCGCAGTCTGAGGCACTGCTGCGTCAGGGCCGGACTGTGTCAGACTCCCGTCATTGCAATGCATCGTGGTGACGTGCCATGAGAGGATCAGTCTTCTGCGACTGATATTTCGTCCTGCATCGAAGACGCTTCCAGCGAATCGCCGCCGCCCCTGCTTTGGGGCAAGGCCCTTGTGGTCGATAACCGATGTGAAGCTGGAACGCTTGCTCGACGATGCTTCAATTGTTGCCCTCAGTGTTGTCGGGACGACTCCGGGAACACGGGGGAGGCTCGAGCGAATCCGAAGGGCCCTCTTCGGCCGTCCTGGGGCACTCTTGGGCTCTTGGGGCATTATTGTGCCAACTCGGGCCTTTCGAGGCCGTCTTGGGGCGACCTCTCTTGTGCCGTCTTGGGGCTCTCTTGGGGCCTTCTTGGGAATCTCATGGCTCGTCTTGCGCAAGGCCGGAAACGGTGAGCCCGCTAGCACCATTCACCATTCATCAGCCATTTCTGAGTTTACACTCTTTTGTCCCTTGGAGGCCTCTTGTCTGCACGAACGAAATGGGTACCGAAAGAATGGGTACAATGCCCAACAGCAGTTCCTGTTCATTTTGAACAGGACTCGCTGTCGGCGCCGCCGCGGCCTGTGTCCATTTGAAACAGCAGGCCGCCTGCCCAACAGCGGCCGCTGTTGGTTTGGGACAACATTTGTTGTTGGGCATTGTACCCATTCTTTCCGTACCCATTTCGGGCGTCCAAATATTGTGGCTTTTCTCGGGGGCCCCGGCGACAAGACCGTTCATGACGCCCCAAGACTGCATCAGAAAACCCCCAAGTCGCTCTCCGAGGCCATCAAGACGACGTCAGACGCAAACATCGTAGGCTCGTATGCGTTTATGTTCCTCAGGATTTTGGATTTGTTAACTTTCTCGCCTCTTCGGGCTCTCGACGCCCCAACACGGCCCCATGGTAATCCCAGATTGCGCTGTGAAAACGCAATGGGCCCCCCAGAGCGCCACAAGACGGCCCGAGAGAGCCCCCAAACAGCCCAATAGGGCCTCATGAGGCCACAACAGGGCCCTAAGAGAGCGTCCAAGAGCGCCCCAAGACCGCCCAAGAGGCTCCCGAGACAGCCCCGGCGGGCCCACAAACGGCCAATAACGGCGCCAATACCGTTCAATATTGCTCCAGATTGCTCCAGAAACCCTCATGCGGCGCCCACACACAGGCCCTCAAGGCGCCCAAGATGCTTCCAGGAGCATCTCAAGAAGCTCCCCACCAACGGCGACATAGGGCCCCATGAAGAACCCCCCCGTTTTTTGGGGTGGCGGGTGAACAATTCCACATCTGATTGATGAGCAAGTCCTCAGCTTCGTGACTTGGTCGCCCCTACAGGGGGCGGGGCAGAGGCTGGCGGATCTTTTCACTGTTTGTTCTGCTTCGTGTATCAAGCAGAGCATCACCCGTGACCTTGGTTGGAACTCAAGTAGTTCGAGAACATGTTCCCTTCTGGTTAAGCGTTGGCGCTTCTACTGCCCACAGCAATTCAGTTATTGTAGACGGTATGACAGCAGGGATCGTCGCAGCTTTCTGTTCGCACGTTTTGTCTCGGTGCGCGTTCGTTGCCTTCAGGGTTTGCTCTGATCGGTCTTGCAGTGTGATCGGATTTGGGGAGCGGGCTCCTCGCAGGTTTAGGAAGTCATGCTGGCTCTACGCTGGCAAGCTCTACAGCGTATCTCGTTCTATCAAGCGTGTCCAGCTCATGTGCGTCTTTCCCTTCGCTATGCAACATAAGAGTAAGTGCGAAGCATTGATATTTGCATGGGATCCCGATGCTGCAGCTATGGGGTGACGTTTCCCTTCTGCACCCCGTGTGCGCATCAGCCACACGCCAAACCTGTTCCAAACAGTACCTTGAGGACATTCCAGACTTCTGGGAGATGGTGCAGAGCAAGCCGTCGCAGGTGCGCAACGAATTTGTGGCAGCCCTGACCTCCAACAGCCAGGTCCCTTCCTTGTTGGGATGAGGAATGGGAGCGGGAGAGGGACTGGGAGGAATTTGCCGCATCAGACAAATCTCTTGCTCGGTCAGATGTCGCCAGTGTTACTTCTATCCCGCGCGGTGTGCCATCGTTACGGTGCAACGTGTGCCACTATCTGAGGCTCTTCTGGGGGACGCTATCGTTCACATGGGAAGGGGGACAGGAGAAGGGCGCATTCCTTGGCATCGTCAAACTATGGTGTCTGTATTCGGTGCCCGATTCTTCTGCGACGGATGCAGCATGGGCAGAATATTGAGGCAGCCATGCAACAGCGAGGTTGATTCGCACGGGGCGGAAGAGCGAGAACGGAGGGGCGAGAAGTGAGGAGCGAGGATGTAGGATGGAATGTGGACCGGAGAAGGAGAAGGGTTGAAGAGATGATGGTATCCGGATTACAGACGAACTCATTGGGCGACGGCGATTGAACCCTCACTTCTGAATCGGATTTCCTTTTGGACCTCCGATCAGTAACAACATGTTTCTCTCCATCCCAGCGGTGTGCCCCTCGACGCGCGCAAATTTGTTTCTGTTGTGAAGGATGGCCTTTCTGCTCAAACCGTGTTGTTGCCCCTGGCTACAACAGCAGTCACTTTCAGACTGATCCCTTTTCGTTGCTTGCGTGTCCTACCCCAAGCCCTCGACTGGGTCCCGCCCTCCTTTTTTTTGAACCTACCACCTTTGGGTGTCTTCAACTTTCATGTCAGCTCCTTCTTCCCAGACAGGGTGGCACAACCGGGTCGACGCGAGGACCCTAAGGGGCGGGTTGGGCAGGCGGACCCGACGGGGCGCGTCGGGCGGTCCCCAGCAGGCGGGACGGGCGGGCGGGCGGGACATCGGGCGTGCGGGCTTCCAGGCAAGAGAAAGGGCGGACCTTACCCGGCGGGTCGGGCTGACGGGCCTTGGAAGCAGGCGGGTCGGGGCCGTGCGGGTGGAGTCTAACGGGCAGGCCTGATGGGCGGACCCCAACGAAAGGGTCGGGAGGGCGCTCCCTCACGGGCAGGTCGGGCTGGTGGGCCTTAACAGGCGGCCTGGGCGGGCGGGACATGAGAGCGCGATTGAGCTTCCAGGCGGGAGTACAGCTCTTCCGTGAGGAGATCGGGAGGCCCGACTAGATTGCGTGGCGAGAGCGCGACGCCTCGAACTTCTTCGCTGCTCAAGAGTCGCGCTTTCGTCTTAGATACCCTTGCGATTTGCATTTGACCTGCGCTCCCGCCTCTCAGGGTGTTGTCGTACTCGACTTCTTATCACTCATTCACTCAACCATATGGTGATGAAGGTACTGCTGTCTGTGATTATCATTATGCTGTGGGTAAGGATGGCGCGAATTATACGCGGATGAGACTGGCGGCGATGACGATGACGCTGTTGTTGCTGCTGCTGATGATGATGCTGATGCTGCCGCTGATGACGATGAGGCTGATGATGATGTCGACGATGATGATGATCCTGCTGGTGATGATGATTCTGATTGTAGTGGTGATGCTAATGATGACGATGCTGATTATGATGCTGATGATGCTGATGATGATGGCGATGACGATGACGATGAGGCGATGATGACGATGATGAAGAAGATGAGGATGTTGATGATGATGATGCTGATGACTATGACTATGATGATGATGATGATAATGATGATGATGATGATGATGATGATGATGATGATGATGATGATGATGATGGTGGGGCAGTAATAACTTGTTATTGCAAGTCATAAGTCGACGCCCCCAGGCGGGAGTGTTCCGCCGTCGGCGCACCGCGCGATGGCGGGCGCCCGCATGTCCACCCGCCACGCGCCGTCGCTACGTCGGGCGGGCCAGGCCCCGCGCAGGCATGCTGGCGTGCCGCGCGGCCGTGCGTCGGGGTCCTTCCTCCCTCCGCTCCTCCGTGCACGGTCGTGATGTCTCCTCTTTGCCGCCTGGCCGCGGGGCGGGATATCAAGTGCCCGGTCATGTCTGCAGCGCCCCACCTGCCTAGTGTGCACTCTTAAGGTGGGGCGGCTGGCCGGGGTGTGGTCCTCTGTCTGCCAGTGTGCGGCTCTGGACCAACCCTGGGGGCGACGCGCGGGGCGTCCTTTCGCCAGAGTGCGTCGGACGCGACCGCGGTCGCGCTTCTTTTCTGGGCCAGTGTGGCCCCTCGTGGGTGTCGTTGTCTAGGGCTTTTCCCTGCGGGTCCTGTGTCCCTCGGTTCACCTCGGGCCAACACCGCTGGTCCTTGGTGACCTACGCGTTGTTTCTCCACCCTGGCGGAGTCTGTTTGGCCCCGAGGGGTCACGGCATTGTTATCAAGCCCAGAGTGGCCTCTTACGTCGGCCCAGTGTGACCAACGTGCCCGTAGGGTTCCCCCTCGCGGGTCCAGAGCGACCCTCGTCTGGCGGCCCAGAGTGGCCATTCAGTTGCAGGGCAGCCGATGCCAGCCCGCATGTCTGGCGGCCCTAGAGCGGCCAATCTTCGATTGGGCGGCCGTTGCGGCTTGCCTGACTGCCAGCTGACCCGCGCGTCTCGCTTGGAGGCCCGTAGTGGCCAATCGTCGCAAACGTTTCTTTCGCATTCCCAGTGAACAGTCGAGCGCGAGACTCGCAGCGCGCCAGACTCGCAGCGCACAGGCAGCGAACTCCCGCCGTCGGTCGACGGTTTTTGCTCTGGCTGCCGCAGGTTCGCAGCGGCTCCGAATGTCGGGTGGAGTCAGCGGCTTCTGCTTGCTTGCGATGGCGGAGCAGGCTGCGCAGGCGGCGCTCGTGCCGTTCGAGGCGAAAGCAGTAAGGGGCTCCTTGGTGCGCACCGCATTCCGCGCGCGGGTCGCGCACGCAGACGCAGTGTTGTCGCAGGCGCGCGAGCGGCTTCGCTACCTGCTGGTTTAGGGGGCGGGCCCCAGGATGCAGGGGCGAGCGCCAAGGGGCCCGCCCCTAGTAATGCCCGCACCACCTGCCAACGAGAGCTGCTGGTCGCCAGTCCGACTCGGAGCAGTCGGCCCTCGGTTAGTAAGGCTGGAGCAGGTGTGGGCGTAACTGCGCTTCGCCCTGGCCCAATGCGCACCGCGTTTGCCGCGCGACGTCTGCCATATCATAATGGGCTACGCTTAGCCCCAGATCGTCTCTGCGCCCGTGATACGCTACCGTCTAATGGACAATCCAGACAGCGGCGATGAAGCGCACTTCCGCCGGGTAAAGCTGCGAGCGCGCCCGCCAGCGCGGGCCGCTGGCGCCTAGGGCGGCGCACGCGACCACAACGCTTTTAACAAACGCGCGCGCTCGTGCCGCGCGTGTCGTCCCAGTGTGGATTTGCGCGCTCCCTCCCGCAACTGGGGGCCGCGTAGGGGTCGCTGCGCGGGCTACTAAGTACGCCGTGTAGCGATGTCGTCTGGCGACGAGGTGCCGTCCACGCAGCCCGCCTCATGTCGCGAGACGTGTCACATTGGCCCTTTTGTGTGTTCTCACTGTCGCGTGCGCGGGCGGCGGGAGCATCCAGCCCCCCCCAGCGCGATCGCAGCAGATCGTCGCCCCGGAGGCGCACATCTGCCGCAGGGCTCTCAGGCAGCCCCTCGATGGAGCTGACGGCCACGGCGCCGCTTGGGCCGTGCGCACGAAGCGCGAGGATCGACCAGCTGGCCAGCGCCTGCCCGCTCGGTAAGACGCGTGGCCCGCGCTCACGGTCATAAGCGGACCAGGTTTCCGCAGGCATCTCGCGTTGCGTTCCCGGCGCCGCCGTTCCCCCCCCGCGTTCGGGGTGCGCGCGTTCGTGTTGCGTCTGCGAAGCGGCGGACCAGGTATCTGCAGGCACCTCGCTCGTGTTGCTACCGGCGTCGCCGTCTTTCTGTGCGCGTGTTGAGTGCGCTGCGTTGCAGTCGGCCCGCCGCGTGATCCCCGCGTGTGCGAGCAGTGCGACGCTGGTGTTCTCTGGCTTCTTTGTTCGTGATGGCGGACGGGCCGCTGCTGAGCTTTCTGCGCCAAGACCCCGTGCTCGGGGCAGAATGGTCGGACGTCGAATACAAGGCTGCGATTGACTGCTCAGGCGCTAATAAGCTGCTGACGCCGGCACAGCTGGCGAACATTCGGCTAGAAGAGCTGTCAGGCTCGGAGGGCCTGCCAGCGGGCGTGAGAGGCGTGCTCCGCCGCGCGCTGGAGCGCGCCGCAGCTGCGGGTAAGCAGGTAGCGTGCGCGAGCGCGCCCGGCGAGCCCCCCTGGTCTGCGCGCTCGCATCGGGGCGGAGGCCAATGTGGAAATGGCCGCCCCCGTGCACCACGTTGGCGACGATTACGTTGAAGGCCTAAGCCAGACGATCTGGCCGAGGCGCGCCCTCACGTGAGCGCGCCAGCGGCGGTGACAGCGGTCGCTGCCTTGCACAGGAGAGAGAAATGTGATTGGATGGCTGCCGAGGTCGTACGCGCGAGAAAGAGGGGCTGCGCGAATCCTTTCGTTTACTCTGATTTGCGCGACTTTCTCCCGACCTGGGCCGCGAGCGCCCGCGGGGTCGACGGCGCAGACGCCAACGGAGTGACGGCTGAGTGCGGCAGTAAAGGTCAGCGCGCGTTGTCGTGGGCCGAGTTTCACCTCGCCTACGACGCATGGGCGATTGCGGCTGCTGCCACTAAGCAGCTATTTTACGCGCGCCGCTTGGGGCACAAGCGATTTGTGCTCCAGGTCCGCGACGTGCCAGCGCGCGCGCGTAGCGGCGCGCGCGCCCGTTGCCTTTCGCGAGGTGGCCTTGGAAGCTCCGCTCGCGGGCCGCAAGGCGGGGCTCGGGCTCCTGTGCGACAAAATCGTCCGCAAGAGCTGGGCCGAGCGCTCGCGACAGAGCGGCGTCGAGAAGTTCAATATTGAGGAGGCCTCGAAAGGGCTCGACGCGTTGTCCCTGCGGTCTGCCGAGAACGAGTTCGACCGCGCAGCCAAGGTCGCCCGCGCGCGCCGGGGGCGTCGCGCGTCGCGCGTGACAGTTGCGTTTGCAGGCGCAGGGGCAGGCCGCCCAGGCCGCGCCCGCGGGCAACGGCCGCGGCAGTGGCCGCGCCGCGCCGAACAAGGGCGCGGCGGAGACGCGCTCTTCGCATTCCGGCGCGTCCTGGCACAGCGGCGGCTGGGGCCGATCTACGTGGAAGACGGGCGCGTGGGGCAGCTCGAAGAGGCCGGCGCCAGACGCGCCGCGCACGCCGCCCCGGCCCGCGAAATGGGCCAAGAAGTAGGGGAGCGCTTGACGTCCCCGATTCGCGGCGCCCTCGCAATGTTTGCGCGGTCGCGCCGTTCGCTCCGCGGCCGCGCGCGCGGCAGGCGCTGCTGCAGATAACGCAGGCGGTGCCCGTGACCTGCGCGGCCTTCCTGCCTGGCGCAGCGCGCCGG